TCGACTTGAGTGTCAAAATAGACATATTAAATTTTACATGGCTGCCAGCCTTCTGTGGCTTTTGCCTATAATTTGTTTAGGAGGCTGAGATTGTGATTTGAAGCTAGCCAGGGCAAAAAAGTAATAAATTCTTATCTCCATGTAACTAGCAAAATTCTAGACTAGAGATGTGGCTCAGGTGGTAGAATGCCAGCTGTGGAGCAGAGCTGGAAGCCTGGCACAAAATATTACATGTATAAAATAGACTTTCTGGTTATAATTCCATATAGCCTTTTTTTTTTTTTTTTGTCGGTTGTGAGGCCTGAACTCTTTGTCTGGGCGCTGTCCCTCAGCTCTTCAGCTCAGGGCTAACGCTCTACCACTTGACACAATGCCACTTTCGGCTTTTTCTTTTGGAGAAAATATGTCAGCACAGCTTATAGGTTTTAGCTTTAAAACGAATTCAAATCTGACCATTTCGAATTGTCTATACCAAGCTATCATCATTTTTGTGCCTGGATAATTGAAGTATAATAATCTTTAAGCTATCCCTTGCCAGGTTATTCTTGGTTCTTGGCTATTCAGGAGTAGAACTGATGCCAGTCCAGACAGAATAGTCGACCAGACAGTATAAAAAACAATTGGCCAAAAGCAGGACTAGAGTCATGGCTTAAGTGGTAGAGTACTATTAGAGCAAACTTGAAGCCCTGAATGCCTGAGCTTAAAAACTATGATACTGCCCCCAAATTAAATATTAATATAGTAATATATTAACATACAAATGTATTACCGTGTAATATTAATATATACATACTGAATATACTATTATATATTGCATGCCTTAGTATGCTACCTAAAAAAAATTAAAAATGTTATTCACAGTAAGTATCTTTCCAGTCCAGTACATATATTCAGTTGGAATGTGGTTTCATGTATGTATTCTACAATTTATCATGTTACTATTTCTGGATTTTTTTTTTTTTTTTTTTTTTTGTCGGTCATAGAGTTTGAACCCTGGGCTTGGGCGCAGTCTATGCGCTCTTCAGTTCAAGGCAAGTGCTCTACCGCTTGAGCCACAGCACCACTTCCGGTTTTCTAGTGGTTTATTAGAGATAAGAATCTCATGGACTTTTTTGCCCTGGCTGGCTTTGAACCGTGATCCTCAGATCACAGCCTCCTGAGTAGCTAGGGTTACAGGCGTGAACTACTGGCGCTCGGCTATTTCTGGATATTTAAGTGAACTATATATACAGAAGAGAAAGAGGGGTGATGGGAATGGATTTTTTTTCCTGGACCTGGGACTTGAACTCAGGGTCTGGGTGCTGTCCCTGAGCTTTTCTGCTCAAGGCTAGTGCTTTCCCACTTAAGCCAATCTACACTATCTGTTTTTTGTAGCTAATTGGAGATAAGAGTCTCATGGACATTCCTTTCCTGGCTGGCTTTGAACTGCAGTCCTCAGATCTCACCTAGGATTATAGGCATGAACCACTGGTGCCCATCTTGCCCGCCTGCCTTCCTGCCTCCTACCCCTCCCCTCCCTTACTCCTCCCTTCCTTTTCCTTCCCTCTCCTCCCCTCCCTTCCCTTCTCTTCCCTTCTATACTGATACTGAAACTTGAACTCAAGAGCCTCAAGCTATTTGTTCTGCTTTCTTGCTTACAGGTGGCACTCCACCACTTGAGCCATGCCTTTAGCATGGCATTTGCTAGTTAATTGAAGATTTAAGTCTTGCAAACTTTTCTGCTTAGGCTGGCAGGACTCAGCCTTCTGAATAGGTTACAGTCATGAGACACCAGTACCAGGCTATAGATGATTAAATACACAGTTTATGCAAGAATACTAAGTTAATTCCAAGGAGAATTAAATTACTAAAATGACTCATGTAGTAGAGAATTTGAAGAGTCCAGAAACTATAGAAGAGTTTATAAAAGTTGTGTAAGATTTAAAATTTAAAGATTACTAGGCCTATATGGTGGTACTGGTCATTTCAATAAGAGGAAGTAACTAATTCAGAATGGATGAAATGGAGAAAACTAGTTTGTTTTACAAATTCCCTGTAATATCAAAATTAAACTGTTAGGCCTGGTAGCACATACCTGTTATCCAGCAGTTGGGAGGCCAATTGACATAAGAAGATCATGAGTTTGAGACTAGCCTGATAAATGAGTATTGGTTTAAAATTATTAATATTAACATTAAAATAGTAAAATACTAATAAAATTTATCAGCTCAAATCTTACACTTTATTAATAAAGAAGTACTCAGCATTGCCAAAAAAAATCCAAAAGAATAGTTATGAGTAATGCAAGAATAGTTCAACATTATACTTGCTACTTAGTACTTTTTATAGCATATAGAAGAAACTACACAATGAAAACTAATGTTTCAAGTTTTGGTATCTTTTTTTTGTCGGTTGTGGGGCGTGAACTCTGGGTCTGGGCACTATCTCTTGGCTTTTCAGCTCAGGTGAGTGCTATACTACTTGAGCATAGCTCCACTTCTAGTTTTCTAGTGGTTTATTGGAGATAAGAGTCTCACGGACTTTTCTCAGGCTGGCTTTGAACCATGATCCTCAGATCTCAGCCTTCTGAGTAGCTAGGATTACAGGAGTGAGCCACCGGTGCCTGGCTTAGTTTTTGTATCTTTTTACAGTGTTGCCAGGATAAAAAAGCATGTTATTGGTTGAATGTCTTTTCTATATAAACTAAATATAACACTACATAGCCACTGTTTGTTAAATACCTGCTATTTTGGTAGTATTAACTCCCATTACTTTTTAGATAGCCTTGTTCTTCATAGATTAATTAAACAAACAAAAATGCTTCTTTTTTTTTTTTTAAGTCACTTGTGGGGCTTGAACTCTAGGCCTGAGCGCTGTCCCTGAGCTCTTCATCTCAAGGTGAGCACTCTACCATTTGAGCCACAGTGCCACTTCTGGTTTTCTGGTGGTTCATTGGAGATAAAAGTCTCACAGACTTTACTGCCCGGGCTGGCTTTGAACTGTAGTCCTCAGATCTCAGCCTCCTTAGTAGCAAGGATTACAGGCATGAGCCACCAGTGCCCGGCTACAAAAATGCTTCTAATGACAAAAATTTATATGCCTCATAGTATCCAGTAGCATAATTCTTCATTTTCTAAGTGTTACTGGATCAGAAGTCTGTGTACTCTTCCCCAGAAGATACATATGAACTTTTCTTTGTGAAGGTTGTGCAAACTTGTTTTTCTATTGTTACTATTTTATAAGACTTCATTTTCTTTACTAGCCAACACTGGGCCTTAGAAATATGTAATACCTTTTGTAGTTTGATTGCAAGTTTTCATTCTATTCTAATAAGATTGACTGTTTTTTATCTTGAGTGCACAAAAACATATAAATATATATTATTCTGTATCTTTGTGTCCTTCACCCATTATGTAATGTTTTACTTTTATTACTTATTTCATATTTTATATTTCATATTTTATGGCTTAAAGACAATAAAATATCTATATACATTACTTAGAAAACCATTGTTTTTTTCTGTCTCCTCTTAACCTGTATAACAGGTTAAACAACAGTCTAACTGTTGTTACTTTGAAGATTTTTATAAATACCAGATTTAGTTTAGAAAGTCTGATTCTAAGAAATTACTAGTTTCTTTTAAGTTCCTTTTTTCCTTCTGTTCAGTTTGAATAATGGATGATTGCCTCAGATGTCTGGTAATCCTTGGCTAAGAAGCTGATGGGAAGCTTTTGTCTGAATCAGTATAGGTGTTTTGTTTGTTTTTCCTCCTGTACTGGTGTTTAAGCATAGTTTTGTGCTTGCTAGGTTGATGTTCTACTACTTGAGGCACACATGGTCTCATTTCCCACCTTAGGCTTTACATCATTGCTGGGGTCACAGGTTTGTGCCCACTACATCTTGGCATCCCACCATGAAATTTGGAGTCTTGTGGATTTTACTACCCAGTCTAGCCTGAAATGTTGATCCTCCCACTCTTAGCCTCCCACCTAGCTCGGCATGACAGACATGTGCCATTTCAGTCAACTATGTGTTAATAATGGCTCTCTTGATCTTTTCTGTCACACAGTTAGCTAGAATTACAGGTGTGAGCCATCTGCATTCAACAGTAGTTAAAACTCAAGGTTTTAACTCCTGCTTGAGGAACTCTATGTGGACCAGAGTTCAGTTCTTATTCTGGTCCAGTGTTTCTCAAACTGACTGATGAAACACAAGAATTTTCCTCTTTTACCCCAATCTGTTGTACATTGATAGTTTTAAATTTTATGAAGCTTAATTACTAGAATAATAAAATTTAAAGCTTGAAGACATTTAAGGCACAACTCCTGCATATATATATTATCTATAGTGTTGGTACCAGGGCTTGAATTTAGTGCCTTGTGGTGGAGTCTCACCAGCTCTTGTGTCCCAAGGTGTCAGCCTTCTGAATTTACAGGCATGAATTGTAAGCATGAGCCACCAGCACTTCTTTCTCCTGAGTAGCTAGTATTACCAGCTACTGTACCTGACTGCCTATATTTTGTTTTTGTTTTGTTGGTTGTAGGGCTTGAACTCTGGGCTTTTGGGCACTGTCCCTAAGCTTTCCAGCTCAAGGTGAGCACTCTTATCACTTGAGCCACAGCACCACTTCTGGTTTTCTAGTGGTTAATTGGAGATAAGAGTCTCAAGGACTCTCTTGTATTGGCTGGCTTTGAACTGTAGTCCTCAGATCTCAGCCTCCTGAGTAGCAAGGATTACAGTGCCTGGCTTGCTTATTCCTCCATCCATCCATCCATCCATCCATCCATCCATCCATCCATCCATATATGATATCATTGAGATGAGAATACAAAGAATTTTTCTCGATTTTTTTTTTTTTAGTTACAAGAGGGAAATGTAGGAATTCATTTTTTTTCCTAATAGTATAGACATAAAATTTATAATAAGCAAGGACAGAACTCTTAGGCAGAAGATGATAGCCATGAATGTAAGAAGCTTCATCTTTGTTCAGAGTAATTTCTTCTTTATTTCTCTCCTGATAGCCAGAACTAGCAGCCTTTCCTGGCCTCTGGATCCAGCTCTGAATTAATTTCTCACCTCAAGAATCTTGGCCTGGGCCTTTTCTTACCAAAAGGGCTCCACCCTGATCTTCCAGTGAAGCCTCTCTTTACTCCTCAAGGTATGTTTAGAGGAGGGAGGAACCATAATTTTGTCATTCACTTGGGGTATTAGATACTCATTAAATATTGATTGGTGAATGTCCCTTAGTGGCCTTCCTCTTTTGAATTGTGGTCCTACATATGTGACGTGACTGCCACTGTGGTCCCAGCCTAGGTAGCTGAGGCAGGAGGATTGCTTGAGCCAAGGAGTTTGATATTAGCCTAGACAACATAGCAAGATTCAGTGTAGGTCAGCATTTGTTTTCAACTCTTCTCTTACCAGGCCATTTCCCACCAGACATTTTGAAATAGGTTTTGGGGTATTTTTCTAGTTCCTCCTAGTCACATGATGATGATGATGATGATTGTTTTTTTGTTGAGTAATTGGGAGAAAGAGAAAATAAAGTGGCTTAATTTGCTAACTTGATGCTGGAAATGTTCCAGATTATTTTAATGCTTTTACAGAATTGTCTTATTACAGTGACTTAAAATAATGGTCAAGTTTTTTGTTTTTGTTTTTGTTTGTCAGTTGTGGGGCTTGAACTCTGGGGGGGCGCTGTCCCTCAGCTCTTCAGCTCAAGGCTAGAGCTCTACTGCTTGAGCCACAGCACCGCTTCTGGCTTTCTAATGGTTAATTGGAGATAAGAGTCTCATGGACTTTCTTCCCCGGGCTGGCTTTGAACCACGATCCTCAGATCTCAGCCTCCTGAGTAGCTAGGATTACAGGCGTGAGCCACTGGCGCTTGGCTTTTTTTTTTTTTTTAATGGCTCCTAGGACTTAGGGCCTGGGTACCGTCCCTGAGCTTTTTGCTCAAGGCTAGTGCTGTACCATTTTGAGCCACAGCTCCGCTGACAGTTTACTGGTGGTGGTTAATTAGAAATAAGAGTCTCATATGGGGGAAGGGGGGAGGCTGGGAAGGGAGGTGAAGGGTAAACAAAGGAGGAGGCTGCAATGCTTGGTAAGAAATGTACGCATTATCCTGCCCATGTAATTGTAACCCCTCTGTACAGTATGTTCACAAATAAAAAAAAAGAGTCTCATAGATGTTTTTGCCTGGGTTGGCTTTAAATCATGATCCTCACCCTCAGCTTCCTGAATAGCTAGGATTATAGGGGTAAGATACTAGCACCTGGCAGGTCAAGTTTTATGAAGTAGTAATATCATAGTTAAATGGGTCATGTAAGACCAATAAACCTTGATGGTAGGGTAGAGATTGAACTATAATAAAAAGAGCATTAGTCTAATAGATTGAGGGATTCAAATTATGATAAAATTTCTTTTTCCCTTTTTATCTTACCTGAGATATTCATAACATTTTGATCACAGGTGCCAACCCTAGTGTATGAGTTGTTATCAGATATCATTATCTCATGGTAACATTTAGACATATATGAAAACTGTTATTCAAACAAACTTGAAAAATTACAAACTGCAAACTACCTCAAATATACAAACTCCTCTTATATTGTATTTTGTATGCTATAAATTAAAGGTATCAGATTTAAAGAAATTACTACCAAAAGCCAGTGCTGGTGGCTCATACCTAGCTAGCTATTTGAGAAACTAAGTTTGGGAGGATCATAGTTGGAGGCCAGCCAGGGTAAGAAAGTTTGAGAGATCCCTTTTCAACTGATATTTGGATGCCTTGGTGAGTGCCTGTTATCCTAGTTACAATGCAAAGCTTAAAATAGGCGATCATGGGCCAGGCACATACCCAGGGAAGGAAATAATAAACTATCTCAGAAGAACAGTATTAAAAAAAAAAAAAAGGATTGGAGTTGTAGATTACCTAAGTAGCAATACAGAAGTCTTGAGTCCAAACCCCTGTACTGGGAAAAAAAAAGATAAAATAAAAGTCCTTCTCATCTGACTGGCCCATTTAAGGAGGGCAAATTAAGCTCTTGATTCATAACTATTTCTTTAACAATGTCATCTTTGAAACAGTGAACCTGAAATGGGATATTTGTTACAAAAAGTTTGTTATTACAGTACAAAAAAAAGGCAGTGTTAGGTTAAGGTCTCATGAAGTCTATGGGGGTCCACTGTTGATTTTTCCATGTGAAACATATGCTCATAAATATTTCTGAAGGGGGCTGGGAAGGTGGCTCATTGGTAGAGAGCTTGCCTTGCATGCATGAAGCCCTGGGTTCGATTCCCCAGCACCACAAAAGCAAAAAGAAAAAAAGCCGGAAGTGGCGCTGTGGCTCAAGTGGTAGAGCACCTAGCCTTGAGCTAAAGAGCTGAGGGACAGCGCCCAGGCCCAGAGTTCAGGCCCCACGACCAGACCCAAAATAACTAAGTAAAAATAAATAAATAAATAAATATTTCTGAAGGACAGCTAAATATACATGTTTTCATCCCAACATGCACTCCTACATTCCTAACAAAATAGAAAAATCTACACTAAAAACAAAAGATTTAATTTCCTATCCTATTATCTTTATTATCTGTACCCCTTTATTTTTCATGTCTTTTGACAAAAAAAAGCATCTTAAAATTACAGATATCACAACTAAATATGGGTTTATCTTTTCCTTCTAGATTTTAAATTTATCTTGATTGCAAATTATAATAACTCATTATGAAAAACATGCAAAATTTTATAAGCAAACAGCCTATCAACTATTTGTTGTGTTATCTTGATAAAGTTCAAAATAAGATTTTCAGGGAGGATCTTAACAAGGCACCCCACATGAAACCCATAAAATCAGATCATATATCTATGTGTAGACATGTAGGCTAAGTAATCTTGCTAATTTAAAAATACTCATTTGGCATAAATTGACATGTTTAATTGAAACTTTTTTACAACTGCTTAAAATATAATAATTTAAAATACTAGGCATTATCAGTGAACTGAGAACTCCATTAAAGTAAGCTTTTTCAGTTATCTTTTTTGGTACCAAGGCTCAGAGCCTGGGTGCTGTCCTGGAGCTTTATTGATGAAAGCAAGTACTCTGTCACTTGAGTCACAGCTCCACTTCCAGCTTTTTTAGAGTCTCACAGACCTTCCTGCACGTTAGCTTTTGAACCATGATTCTTAGATCTCAGCCTCTTGAATAGCTAGGAATACAGGTGCAATCCATTGGCACCCAGCTAGATCTCTTGTTTTTGATGAAATATTTCAGTATGCTAAAATATTATTAGATAATTTCATGACTTCTTACGTAGGCTATTCTTAGTAGATAAACTTTCTTAGTATGATATAACATGATTTGGGCCCAGTTTAATTATTAGTGGCTGTTCCATATTACAGAAATGCCCTCAAAGGTTATTGTCATATAAGTGACATTCTTTAGTTAGGTTATTTTGACTAGCTATGTTTTTAGAATTTTTTCTTAGAATTCACATAAAATTAGCCCTTTCTCTCTACTTCACTCCTTCCCTTCCATTTTTGATAGTATTTGGGCTTTAACTCAGGACTTCTTGCTTGGTGTAGATAGGCACTTGAACCATACCTCCAGTCTCACATTTTTACCCAGAGGCTATCTAAGATTATCCTTCTACCTTCATCATAGCTCTGATCAGAGAGGCACCTGCTACAAAACCCAGCTAATTGTTTGAAATGGAGTTTCACTTTCTGGGGCTGGTCATGAGATTCTGGAGATTCTCCTTATCACTATCAGCTCAGTAAATGGGATATTAGGCATGAGCCATTACTCCTGGCCTCACATTAGTGATTTTAGAGGCATTTATTGTGTTTGCCGTACTGAGCACTTATCATCACTGTCTAGTTGAAAAATATTTTAGTCACCAGGCGCCAGTGGCTCACACCTGTAATCCTAGCTATCTGAGGATCAAAGCCAGCCTGAGCAGGAAAGTCCGTAAGATTCTCGTCTCTCATAAACCACTTGAAAACTGGAAGTGGCGCTGTGGCTCAAGTGGTAGAGCGTTTGCCTTGAGCTGAAGAGCACAGGGTCAGCACCCAAGCCTAGAGTTCAAGCCCCACGACCAACCAAAAAAAAATATATATATATAAGCCGGGCGCTGGTGGCTCACGCCTGTAATCCTAGCTACTCAGGAGGCTGAGATCTGAGGATCGCGGTTCAAAGCCAGCCCGGGCAGGAGAGACCGTGAGACTCCTATCTCCAATAAACCACCAGAAAACCGGAAGTGGTGCTGTAGCTCAAGTGGTAGAGCGCTCGCCTTGAGCTGAAGAGCTGAGGGACAGCTCCCAGGCCCAGAGTTCAAGCCCCACAACCGACAAAAAAAAAAAAAAAATATATATATATATATATACATATTTTATATATGTATATATATATATATATACATATTAGTCCCAATGAAGACTATATACCTGTTAAGTAGTCACTCCATCCCTCTTTTCAGCCACTGGAATATCTAAGATAAATGGAAATCCCCTTCCTTTAAAAAAAAAAACAACTTTTTTTCCTCCCCTGCCAGAGGACTCTTAATCTTCTTCATTTACTAGGGATTATAAACAAAAGCAAATTCATTTAAGTTGTTTGGAGTCAAATCTACCTGAAAATGTACTGGGCTTGTTTATGAGGAAAGAGTATATGGATTAATAAATGAACTTGATGGCATTTCTTGGCTGCCATGTATCCTGCCTAATTATTTTCTTTTTTTTTCTTTTCTTTTTTTTTTTTTTGCCAGTCATGGGGCCTGAACTCTGGGTCTGGGCGCTGTCCCTCAGCTCTTCAGCTCAAGGCTAGCGCTCTACTACTGGAGCCACAGTGCCACTTCTGGCTTTTTCTGTTTATGTGGTGCTGAGGAATCGAACCCAGGACCTCATGCTTGCAAGGCATGCACTCTACCGCTGAGCTACCTTCCCAGCCCCCCCTGCCTAATTATTTTCTATTCCTTGAATGTATTGGGTAGATGAGGTTGCTGAATAGTGCTTAACAAGCAACGTATTAATGTATGCTTCCTACTTCCTCCTGAACTGTGAGTTGGAATAGAGGAGAGACCATATTTTTTAAATTTCTCTATAGCACCTGTCAAAATATTTTCTACTTTTATTAGGTATTTATTAGTTTTTGTTAATTGAGTTGTTTTAAAAGCCTACTTTTACATTGGGATATGTTATTTTTTTTTTTTTGGGTCCAGTCATGGGGCCTGAACTCTGGGCCTGAGCGCTGTCCCTCAGCTCTTCAGCTCAAGGCTAGTGCTCTACCACTTGAGCCACAGTGCCACTTCTGGCTTTTTTCTTTTTGCTTATGTGGTGCTGAGGAATCAAACCCAGGGCCTCAGGCATGCAAGGCAAGCGCTCTACCACTGAGCCAACTTCCTAGACCGGATATGTTATTTTTTAAAGAAAAAATTGTGAGCTATTTTGAAATGGAATTCATGATATTTAGAAATAGCAAAATCTAATTACTTGATGTTATATAAATATAATTTTGGATATATGATATTATTAAGACACAAATTGCTTTTTATAATGAAACTTGTATGATAATCTCTTTTTTGTGTGTGCTAGTCCTGGAGCTTGAACTTAATGCATGGCCTGTGTCCAAGCTTTATTGCTGGAGGCTAGCACTCTCCCACTGGAGCCACAGCTCTACTTCTGGCTTTTTGCTGGATAATTGGAGGTAGTCTCACAGACTTTCTTGCCTATGCTTTGAACCATGATCCTCAGATTTCACCTTTCTAAGTAGCTAAAATTAACAGGCGTGAACCACCAGTGCTCAGCTATAGGAAGTATAGAAAAAGCTTGAGTGTGGATTAACCAGAATGACCACACTATGAAATTCTGGCAAATGTACAGAAACGATTACTATGTGTATAAAAGTTTTGGTTTTTTTTTTTTCAAGTCAAGCAGGAAGTGTATAAAAGTTTTGTATATTTGATCACTTTCAGATCTGGTTGAAGTTTCATAGATGATTTTTGTTGTTGCTGTTTGTGTTGCTGTTGCTTTTATTTTAAATGTAAATTATCCCTGAGGAAGTTACAGAAATAGGAAATCTGAGACAAATCTGTTACAGTTCTTATGAGATAATGGTTACAGGATAACTAACCACATGAGATAATAGTTACAGGATAAACCACATGTGTAATGGAGTCTTTAAGAATCCCTTATAAATTTTTAAAAAATCTTTAATATTACAAGTAAATGTGGTACACACCTGTAATTTTAACATGTTCAGGAGACTGAGGCCCAGAAATTCTGGACACAGTATCAGGGCTCCCATCTCAAAGAAAAAAAGAAAAGAAAGTTAACCCAGTTTTAGAACTGAAGTATCCAATCTTAAGAGTTTAAGTTGGGCCTGGTGGCACATGCCTATAATCCCAGCACTCACAGGATTGGAGTTTCCAGGTCAGCCTAGGCTATATTATTTAATGATATCATATCTTAAAAAATAAAATAGCCAGGCTCATAACCTGTAATACTAGCTATTCAGGAGGCTGGGATCTGAGAATTGTTATTCAAAGCCAGCCTGGGCAGGAAAGTTTGTGAGATTTTTCAGTGAACTACTCAAAAAAGCCAGAACTGATGCTGTGATATAAGTGGTAGAGTGCTTGATTCCCTTGACCAAAAGAAGCTCAGAAACAGTATCCAGGCCCAGAGTTTAAGACCCAGAACCAGCAGGCAGGGTGAAAGGGGATGGAAGGGATGGGGGGGAAGCTGGGCACTGGACACTGGTGGCTCACACCTGTAATCTTAACAACTCAGGAGGCTGAGATTTAAGGATCAGCCAGCCCTGGCAGAAAAGTCTGTGAATACTCTTCTTATATTCAAATAAACTACTCAACAAAACAAAACCCACAAATGGAACTGTGGCTCAAGTGGCTGACTGCTAGCCTTGAGCAAAAAAGAAACTGTAGGACAGTGCCCAGGCCCTGAGTTCAAGCCTCAGGACTGGCAGATAGATAGAAAGATGGATGGATAGATAGATAGATAGATAGATAGATAGATAGATAGATAGATAGATAGATAGATAGATAGATAGATAGATAGATAGAATCTTATCACTTGAAGATATTATGAGAATATGGTTTTGTTTGGAGGAGGAAACTGAGATGCAAAGAAATTAATCCCATGGCATAGTTGGATTAGAGCTTGCATTTTCTGACTTCTATGTTATCTTCTTTTTTTTTTCACTTTCAACTGTTTCTTTTTCAAATTTTTTATTGTGATTAAGTAGTTACATAATTTCCCAAATTTCACAGTATTGTGGGATAGTGATGCTTAGTTAAAGTCACAAACACATTCTAACTTTCATGGGGCAAATTGTCTATCATGGTCTATAACATTTATGAGCTCTATGAGCTTTGCAATAGTTATTTCTTCCACATTGGGTGATATGTACATTTCTTTTGTTTTGCATAGCATCAGCTGCTGTTCCCTCTTTCCCACTTGTTTCCTCCCTCCCATTGCTGCCATTGAATTACTTCTTGTTAGTGGTTTGTACATCAACCAAGTCTTCAGTCTCAGTATGTGCGTTTGGCTAACATTTCAACTTTGTGTCAAAAATTGAACTTAAAGATAAGAAATTTGCTTTTAATTTTGTGATGAAAATTTCAGTTCTTTGTTTAATTTTAGGTGAGTTGATGTTGAAAAGTTCCTGTTTAATTTGAAGATGTTTTGGAACATTATTGTTTCCTGTTGAATAACTTCAGGAGTTTTCAGAACAAAAGAAATTGGGATTTTTTTTTTATTACATCATGCCATTTGAAGAGAAACAATTATTTTGTGATGAAGAGCAAATTACTTTAAAAAAAGATGATGATGTAAAGAATAAGATAGCTGATACTGTGAGATCAGAACCTAAACAAAAAATTTTAGAAACTGATTTTCATTATGGATTAAAAATTTTAAAAGTTGATTTGCCAAAGGTTTATATTCCAGATGAAGTTCTACTGAAACATGAAGTTGACAAATACAGCAAATTATTTCAGAGAAGACAACAGACTGCAAGAAAATCTATAAATGTAAGGACGGTAAACTGTGTAGAGGAGTGTGTATTGCTTTGTAAGTCTGAGAGAGCTGAAGAAGAAGGTGTAAAAATGTCTGCAAAAATACTTAATTTCAGCTGTTCAAAATGCCAAGATGGCACTCGGTATAGCCCGAATGATTTACAGAAACACTTTCAAATGTGGCACCGTGGAGAATTACCTTCATTTCCTTGTGAAATGTGTAATTTTTCAGCAAATGACTTCCAGATATTTAAACAACACCGACAAACCCATAGAAGTACTTTAGTAAAATGTGACATTTGTAACACTGAGCGTGTATATAGTTTATTAGGCTTGACAAAGCATTTCACATCTAAACATTGTGTTAATGGCAATTTTCAATGTGAAGAGTGCAAATTCTTCACCCAGGATGTTGGTACATTTGTTCAGCATATTCATAGACATAACGAAATTCACTATAAATGTGGTAAATGCCATCATATGTGTCTCACCAAAGCAGAGCTTCAGAAACATTTTCTTGTTCATTGTGGTACTCTTCCCTTCACTTGTCAATATTGTAGTTATGGTGCCACCCATAAGGACCATCTTGTAAGACATGTTATAACTTTGCACAAAGAACATTTGTATGCAAAAGAAAAACTGGACAAAGACAACCATGACAAAAGGATCACAAGTACTTCTGCAGGTCTTAAACTAATACTGAAAAGATACAAAATTGGTACATCAAAAACATTCTGGAAACGTAAGAAAATTAACAGTGGAAGTGACAAAGATGTAGAGGAAAGCACTCAGGAGCTTAATATAATGAGCAAAACACAAGAGACTGGATCTGAAGATCAGAGCCATCTTGGTAAGAAACATTTAAATGAAGAGAAGCGTAAAAGGCTACACTGTGAAGATAGTGATAAGCCCACAGGGTCAGAGTCAGAAAAACGAATTCTTCTCTCCTCTGGGCAGTGTAATAGAGCTGATGAAGGATCAAATGCTACTTCAGGTTTCTTGAAATCTACTTGTCAGGGACCTACAGTGTTACTGATGAAAAATAATAAAGTAACAATTCCCGCAAACTACAGTTCGAAGTTTATGGGCTTCAAGATGGTAGATGGAAAACAACATATTGTAATAAAATTGTTGCCTCCCAGTAAACCAAATTTACACACTTCAGCCTCACAGTTAGATGCTACAAAAGACAATGCTACTCACTTGAAGCTCCAGACTTTGGACACCACTGCATTTTTAACTGGAGTAACAACTGAGTTAAGTGAAAACATTTCTATGAAAGCAACTCCATTTTTATGCCCACCTCCTATAGTTTCAGGGAAAATAATTTCTGAAAAAGAAATGGCTTTGATATCTGAAAGGAGTAATATTCCTCAAACAGTGGATAATAGTAAAAATCTATCGTCTTTGCCAGCAACATCAGAATTGGTTACCACATCAATGGGTTTGACAGCAAAAGTTGAAACAAGAGATAACGTTGACTTACGGGGAAATCATATTGCTCAGAACCATTCAGAAATACTGGGTAACACCGTTAAAGCTCAAGATAAAGTCAACCATAATAACAAGCCAAATGCATATACTAGTGGAGATATGCATAACTATTGTATTAGTTATGTCAACTCTGAGTTACCAGTTGAATCTTCAAACCAAGGATCATTACCTTTTCATAATTACTCAAAAGTGAATAATAAGCGTCGTAGGTTTTCAGGACCAGCAGTGTGTGAAAACCTTCAGAAAGAATCTTCATCAAGCAAAACAGTTCAACAGCCAACTAATGATGCTGTTTTTACACCAATTAGGAAGGAAATCTCAAACACAGATAGTCTGTTACCATCTGTTAGCCTTTTAAATGATAAAGATGGAATTTCAAAAATGAAAGCTGAAATTGAAGAGCAATGTGTTATAGAAAAAGGACAAAATATTGATGGACAAAGCCTGTACACTAATGAAAACCAGAATTTAGAGAATGTGACTGAAAAATCTAACTGGAATGACACTTGTAGTATTGATTCACCTATGATGCCTAGAATCACATCTGTTTTCTCTCTCCAGAGCCAACAGGCATCAGAATATTTACCACCTGAAGTAAACCAATTACTTCAAGATATATTAATGCCGAAATCTAATGTAAAGCAGGACTCTGACATTCCAGATAAAAGTCCATCACTTCATTGTGAGCAGTCACAACAAAATCAGGGAGAAGACTTGACAGTTGAACCTTCAAAAGACTTGAAAGAACATAGTATCTGCCCATTATCATCTGGAAGTATGAGTGTTAATATGCCTACAGATAATCAGAGTTTGAAATGTAATGGAAAAGAAAAACAAGTGCTGTCAGTGTTACAAGATGTAAGAGATTCAGAGAAAGTTCCAGGTGTTAGCACATTACCAAAAACTCAGTCAGATGCAATAATAACGCAACAGCTTGTAAAAGACAAACTGCGTGTCAACACACAGAATTCAGGTTCTTTAGGTATACAGAATCCACTCATAAGCTTAGAACAGAAAAAAACTGTATTTGTTCAAACTCCAAAAGGAATTTTTATACCATTGAAAGTTGCTAACAAGCCTGGAGTCCACATTCTTTCTAAAAGAGCACTTCCATTAATTAATACTCCAGGTGTACCTGCTTCTCTTCTTTTAAACAACAAACCTGGGATGGTTTTGACATTTAGTAATGGGAAACCTGAAGATGTTTCCATTGTCAACACTGAGAGTACTCAAGCTTGTGGAACTAATGAGCCTTTCAAAACTCCCTTTTTGAAGGTAGAACACAACAGTAATTGTCTCACACCTGCACTTTGTTCCAGCATTGGCAGTTGTTTGAGTATGAAAAGTCGCTCAGAAAATGCATTGCCATTAAAAAGCTCTTACATTATTAAAACACCAGGAAGTTCTTCAGGGAAAGCTGTTCCTACTTCTAATGTACTGTCAGAGCAGCAGGGTGCAAAGTTGAGTGTCTTAGATTCAGTTAAACAGCAGAATGAAAGTTTCCCGAAGGCACCTCTCTATACCCTTTTGCCTGATGGCAGGCAAGCTGTTTTTCTAAAGTATGTGATGCCAAATAACACAGAGCTGCTTAAGCCTAAGTTAGTCCAAAATTCTAATCAAAATACACAGCCAAAGACACCTGAAGGAACATCACAGACAATATTTTTGAAATTTTTTAATTCTGTTTCAAATGTGACTGCTGCTAATAATCAATCAGTTAGCAATTCTGTAATCCCATTGCAGAAAGAGAATGTACCATCTAATCAGACTATAGGTGGAGAGCAGAAAGAGCCAGAATCTTGTAGAGATGCCTTACCCTTCTTAACAGATGATTTGATGCCAGCAAATGAAATTACTGTAACTTCTACTGCAACATGCCCAGAACCTTCTGAGGAACCACTATGTATCAGTGACCATTCAGAAGCCAGAGTATTACGGTGTAAGACAAATGGTGCAGTTGAGAGAAGTTTCAATAGAAGAAAGACTTCCATAAGCAAATTTTCTAAAATAAAATCTCGTGTAAGTGAAGATTCTGAAATTACCTTTGTATCTAGAAACAGAAATTGTAAACGAAAATGTAGGGATAGTTACCAAGAGCCTCCAAGAAAAAAGTCAACATTGTATAGAAAGTGCAAAGAAAAAACTAAAACTGAAGATGTCCATGAAGCTTTTGGACTCAACAGACCTAGGCTTGCAAAAGACACAGTCAGAATGTTAAGGCTTTTCCCCTTTAGTTCCAGACAACTTGTGAAATGTCCCAGGAGAAACCAACCAGTTGTGGTTTTGAATCATCCTGATGTAGATGCTCCAGAAGTCGTGAGTGTAATGAAAACTATCTCAAAATTTAATGGGCATGTACTTAAGGTTTCATTGTCAAAGAGAACTATCAGTGCTTTACAGAAACCAGTTTGTTATAATCCTTCTAAAACAACATTTGATGATTTTCCCAAGAGGCACAAAACATTTAAAACGGTTAATTCCGTGAAAGAAAGATTTGTGCTAAAATTAACACTCAAAAAGACAAGCAAAAACAATTACCAGATTGTGAAAACTACCTCTGAAAATGTTTTGAAAGCTAAGTTTAACTGTTGGTTTTGTGGTAGAGTATTTGACAATCAGGATACATGGGCTGGTCATGGGCAGAGACATTTAATGGAAGCTACTCGAGACTGGAATATGTTAGAATAATTTACCAAATTAACCAAGGAAAAGAAAATAAAACTATTTGAGAAGAAAACAGTTGAAAGACCATGATACAGACATTTTCTACTTCAGTATAGTTCCTGAAATTAAACATTTTAAGTATCAGTTATATTTCCATGGAAGACCAAAAGCTTTATGTATGGTACTTGAAAATGCCATCACTGTACAAGTAAGTTTTGAAAGAAATTAACTTACATAGCTGTATCTTGACTTAATCTTTTTTAAAAGATGTGCTTGTGAGAAGTTAGTGATAGTTTGGTTAAAATAGTTTTCCCAATAGAGTTCTTTTCTAGAGACTCTTCATAGAGGGTAAATAGGGATAGTCCCATTCCCTTTCTTCCACCAGCCTTATAAATCCGATTAGCCAGCTCCTCTGAAGATGGGGTGCTCTTTCACATTGGAATTGGATTTCTTATCACTTGTGAAAACATACTGAGAGCCTGTGTAAAGAAGTTACCCTGTATCTGCTGAATACAGTTCATTTGAAAGATAGAATCCTTTGAAACTATTTTCACAGTTAAACTTGGAAGAGTTTGGGGCAAGTTATTCTTGTTTCCTGTTAAGCTCTGTCCCATGTCAGAAATTGTAATGCCTTCCCAAGGTGACCCTTTCTCTAAATTGCAGTAAATGAGCAGCTTTTCTACTTCCAGTTAAACTTCAGTGTTTTTTTTTTTCTGAATTTGATCATATTCTACAGTGATTCTCTTGCACAGAACTATGCTTATCTGATTTAAATTGTCCATCATTAATCAAAAGATCCTGTTTTTCTTCTTGGTTGTCACCCCTTTAAAAAGAGTGGAATATTTAAGCACTTGAAAGTTAAAATATTTTAGATAATATTTTGAAGCAAATTTAGTAAAACAAACCATATTTTTTGTCTGTAATTGTCTAAATTAGGTTAGAGCATTTTTGTTAGTAACTCTTTAGTATATCAGACAAAAGCAGATAGATATTGATTGTGTTTGAAAATGGGGAAGCATTAATATGGACACTGTTCATAAAGCTTCAATTCAAGGTAGATTCCTAAGGGACATGCTCAAAAATTTCAAAAATGGACATTTTATAACAGAATCATTAAACTTTTCATCTTGTAAGTTTGGATCAGATTTTGTTGCATCACTGGATAATGGAGTCCCTATATTACAAGATTAGATACTATGATTTTTGTTTCAAGTCTTAATAACATTTTCTTTGATTGAAAACTTCAGGGCTTTTCTGTATATAATAAATCTGTACATACATTTTGTACTTTTATGTAAATTTTGCACAGGAAGTTTTTGACAAAATTACAATTTAGTTCTGTGCATGCACTAAAAGACTGGTTGCTTAATTTAAAAGGTGTGTATGAGACTCGTTTTTTTTTTAAATTTTTATTTCAGATGTAGATTTCTTTTTTGTAAATTCATTTTTCAGGGATTAAAACACTATGTTAGTAAGTGCCTAAAAAAATGTGAAACAGTTTACATATGTCAACTGTAACAGTAGGTCCCAAATGGGTCCATTCTCCTAATAGTTTATTTTGAAGAAAGCCATACAGATGCTTCAAGCTATCTTACTATGCACATTATACTTGTACTGTTTTATGTGCAGTTTATCTACTTTCTTAGTGGAGTATTTTTTGTATACAACCTGTTACAATTGTGTTTCTTAAATTGAGCCTAAAAATGGAATTGATCGGAAATATACAGTATATATTAATAATGTATATGGTGTTTAAAGAATGGTAAGCATTAATTTCATTGTTAATGAAGGTTTTCTTCAATAAATTTATCTTAAATTTGTGTTTATACAGAATCTTATTACTGTGTTAAATTTTAATGGTAATTCTGTTTTAGCCATGTAATTTTCTTCCTCTCGTGTGTGTGTGTGTGTGTGTGTGTGTGTGTGTGTGTGTGTGTGTGTTGATTCTGAACTCTGTTTATACAGAATCTTATTACTGTGTTAAATTTTAATGGTAATTCTGTTTTAGCCATGTAATTTTCTTCCTCTCGTGTGTGTGTGTGTGTGTGTGTGTGTGTGTGTGTGTGTGTGTGTGTGTGTGTGTGTGTGTGTGTGTGTGTGTGTGTGTGTGTGTGTGTGTGTGTGTGTGTGTGTGTGTGTGTGTGTGTTGATTCTGAACTCTGGGCCTGGGCGCTGTCCCTCAGCTCTTCAGCTCAAGGCTAGCGCTCTACCATTTGAGCCATAGCACCACTTCCAGCTTTTTTCTTTTTGCTCATGTGGTGCTGAGGAACCGAACCCAGGGCCTCTTGCATGCAAGGCAAGCGCTCTACCACTGAGCCACCTTCCCAGCTCTGATTCTAGAGTTTGAACTCAGGATTTAGGTGCTGTTCTTTACTTTTTTTTAAAATCACACTTAATTTTTCACACACTTCTTCCCTGGTCTGGCTTTGAACTACAATCCTCAGATCTCAACTTCCTGTGTAGCTAGGATTACAGATGTGAGCCACCAACACCCAGCTTGGGTCTTCTTGATTTTCATTTAAAATAAAGCTAATTTTGGTATTTCATAACACACCATTTATGTTCTAAATCACTAAGTCTAGATTGTAGATATATTTGTGTAAAACTGGAGAAATAATGAAAATAAGTAAGTCAAATGTGAATAATCATTTGTGTGCTTAGAGTAGTGCATTTTATGGAGGGATTAAAAATAAGATAAAGCAGACATGCAGAATTTGGGTTACATGTGAAATAAATTCCCTTTTTTTTGTTTTTTGGTTTTTTTTTAGCAAATTGAAGTAATTTTTTAAAAAGTAATAGTTATTGGGAGAGAATAGTGGTAAGGTGAAAATAATATTATATATTGTGTACAACTAACTGATTTTATAAGTGGATTCCTTTTTACCACTGACGCTTGTTTACTTGTCATGTGTTATATCCCACTTGGGCTATTGATTGTTTTTTTGCTATAGGAAAACCCTGTTCTCAGCAAAGTACTTTGACTCCATTGGGAACCCCATTGAGAAAAACATACTGGAGAAATTTATTTATCAGGGCTTTTTTCCCTTCCTAATAAAGAGTGATACTTGCTAGGTAACTGGCACATACCTACTATAATCCTGGCTACTCAAGAGGCTGAGATCCAAAGGAAAAGGTCCTAAGCCAGACCAGGCAGGAAAGTACAAGACTGTCATCTCCAAACTAGCCAGCAAAAAGTAGGTATCATTTAAGCAAGTGTGAAGTCCTGAGTTTGATATGTTTCCTCGCTACTAAGTGGTATTAGTCTTACAGTGAGTTGAAATGGCTGTATTTATGTATTTTTTTTATTGTAAAAATACTGTCCAGAGTGATTACAGTTACATGAGTAAGGTAACGAGTACATTTCCTAATGAGCATTGTTACCTCCTCCTTTGTTTTTCCCCTACCGAAATGGCTATTTTGGTGATCACTAAAAATATGTGCTTTAACCAAGTGTACAGAAGAGTTGTTTGATGAGGCCTTCAAGTCACTTTCTTGATGTTCTGTTTAAAAGGTTTATGATTATTATAACACTAAAAATTTTTGTGGTTGAACTGGAGATAAGAATCTCATGGACCTCATGCCAGGCTGGCAAGAAACCACAATTCTTAGATCTGTCTCCTGAGTAGCTAGGATCACAGGGGTGAGCCATTGGCCTTGGCTTAAAAGTTTTTTTTAAGGGGAGGGGGGAGGCTGGGAAGGGAGGTGAAAGGTAAACAAAGGAGGAGGCTGCCATGCTGGGTAAGAAATGTATGCATTATCCTGCCCATGTAATTGTAACCCCTCTGTACAGTATGTTCTCAAATAAAATAAAATAAAATTTAAAAAAAAAAAAGTTATTTTTAAGGAGATTGTCAGCAATGTATGTACTTAAACTCATTAGCAAAGGCATAATGTCAGGATTCTTATGTAATAAAATGCTTCAACCAAAAGTAAAAGTAATATTCAAGTTACAACTCTTGAAATGTTGGTCTCAAAGAAAGGAAATGAATGTCTGCTGTTACGGGTGTTACAAGTTATTGCCAACTAAAAGATCAAGAAAGTAAAATGAAAGTTAAATCTGGAGATTTAAAGCAAGATGACTTGCTTTTAATACCTTGAGAATCCAAAAGAATAAGCAGTTAACAGTAATCATTTGGGAAAGAGTAGAAGACTCATTTGTAGTAAAAGGCACAAAATAACTACATTTGGAGGTAGAATTTCTGGTTGGAAGGTTAAATAGGTTCATTTGGCAGATTACATTTTCCATAGCCAGAAGGTAAGGTTGGAGTGGACTGATAGTGTACTATTACTATGGATTACCTGTTTCAGGTTCTCTACAGTGGCAGAACCAATAGATACATACACATATGAAAGGATTTATTTTTTTTTATTTTTTTTGGGTCCAGTCGTGGGGCCTGAACTCTGGGCCTGGGCACTGTCCCTCAGCTCTTCAGCTCAAGGCTAGTGCTCTACCACTTGAGCCATAGCGTCACTTCTGGCTTTTTTTCTTTTTGCTTACGTGGTGCTGGGGAATCGAACCCAGGGGCCTCAGGCATGCAAGGCAAGCGCTCTACCGCTGAGCCACCTTCCCAGCCCCATGAAAGGATTTATTAAGGGAACTTGTTGGGTCTTCCTCCGCCCACGAAAGACAGACAGGGTCCTGTCCAAGGAAAGGTAAGTGCGGCCCTTGCCTGTTCCCCAGCCTCCCTCAGCCCTCCCCAGCCTCCCTCAGGAGACAATCAGACACAGCGGGAAGCCAAATCCAGCAGGTAGAAAACTCGTTTATTAACAGAGAGCAGCCCTTTTTAAAGCCAGAAAGGGCGGGGTGGCATGGCAAGGGAGGAAGAGGAACCAATCACTGTCAAGGTCACACCCTATCATGCACCTAAGCCTTCACGGGCTGGTTAGGCACTGATCTTAAGATGAACTGGGCTCTGCCCACTCAACTCCCTCTCAGTGCCATCTTTGCTGCCCATGTGCTCTGCAGGAACTGGTTTTAGTAATTGTGGAGGCTGAGAAGTCCCATGAAAAGCTGTCTGCAAGCTGAAGGTAAGGATACTTGGCTCAATCCAAATCCTCAAACCTCAGAACCAGAGAAGCCAATAGTGTGATTACTCAGTCCAAGGCAAGAGATATGAGAACTCTTGTGCTGTCGGCATGCAAAAGCCAGAGAGCCAACAGTTACGATATTCAGGGGAAGGCTCCCTATGTCTCAGTCTAACACATACCTGTGTCCTCTGGGGGAGGGGGGGGGGAAATATATATATATATATAATGTCCAGTCGTGGGGCCTGAACTCTGGGCCTGGGCACTGTCCCTCAGCTCTTCAGCTCAAGGCTAGTGCTCTACTACTTGAGCCACAACGCCACTTCGGTTTTTTTTCTTTTTGCTTATGTGGTGCTGAGGAATCTAACCCAGGGCCTCATGCATGCAAGGCAAGCGCTCTACCACTGAGCCACCTTCCCAGCCCTGGAAATGTTTTTTATAGATACATTTAAAATAATGTTTTACGCTCAAAATGTTCTTTAATCCATTCATGGAATAATTAATGCTCTAGAACATTGCTGAAAAGCTGAACAATCATTTAGTAGAGGCCAGCAGTTGCTGATCATGCCAGTAGAATAGCATCTAGAGACTTAAAGACAAAAAAGAGACAAAGTCTGCATAAAACTACAGGTACTTCCAGGTGCCAGTAGCTCATGCTTATAATCCTAGCTACACAGGTTTGAAGCCAGCCCAGGCAGGAAAGCCTGAGATTCTTACCTCCAATAAACTACTCAGGGAAAATAAAAAACAAGTGGTGCTGTGGCTCAAATGGTAAAGCACTAGCCTTGAGCTAAAGCTGAGGGACAGCTCTGAGGCCCAGAGTTCAAGTCCCAGGAATGGCAAAACACACACACACAAAACACAGAGTACATGCTGCAGCCTTTGACCTTAGAGGAGCAACCAGAGGGAGCACCTCTTGAGTTGCTTGTTCCTGGCTGAATGCTTTTAAGCTTCCTAAAAAAGAACAGTTTCTGAGCCACACACAGATAACATGGTGGTAGAAACTACTGACTAGGGGTTCCAAGCAGCCTTTGACCAACCATTGACTAAATGTGCTGACTCAAGAGCAGCTCCAAGGAAAGTCAGATTTAAAGATTTAAAAATGAAAGGAGAAAAAGCTGAGCTGGGAGGTAGAAATAGACATGAATTAATCTAGCTAAATTACTAGATTAAAAATATACAGGAGAGGGAAGAGAATTGTGTGCAGAGATCTATAAATGTTGCCTACAATGTCCAGTTTCAATACAAGATTATGTAAAGAATCACAAAAATGGATCAGTAGATGAATAAACATGCAATAGCTCTTTTGAGAGGTACCAGATCTAAAATAAATCCTGAACATGTATTAGTATGTCCAAAACATTAAAAAAATTAAGGAATGAGCTGTTGCCAATAGCTCACATCTGTTGTCCTAGTACCCAGAAGACAGACTTGGAAGATCAAGGTTCAAAGCCAACTCAGGCAGAGAAGTCTAAGAGACTTATCTCCAATTAATCAGAAAAAAAGCTAGAACAAGAGCTGTTACTCAAGGGTCTGGGAAGGTAGCTCAGTGGTAGAGAGTTTGCCTTGCATGCATGAGGCCTGGATTCCTCAGCACCACATAAACAGAAAAGCCATTAAGTGGCACTGTGGCTCAAGTGGTAGAGCGCTAGCCTTGAGCTGAGGAGCTGAAGGACTGCACTCAGGCCCAGAGTTTAGAGTTCAGGCCTCATGACCAACAACAACAACAAAAACTTAAACTGTAGAGCACCAGCAGTGAGCAAGAAGCTTCTGAGTTCAAGTCCCAGTACAGACC